ACCTTCTTGATTTTAAGTAGTTCTGGCTTGGCAATGGCTAATTCACCTGCAAACCTGCGATAGGTTTCGCGGTCCTTCTTAAAGTGCCAGAAACTAGGGCCCGGAAATTCAGGGTGCTTTCCATTTCGGTGGTTTATCAGGGCCTCGTGACTGAAAGTGGTGTCTGTAAGCCACAAACCATCAACTAGTTCGAAGGTTGTGTCCACTTGCAATATACTGTTCCCAAGTACACAGAATCTGTGTACATCCTCTAGCACATGTTCAGGAATGTTTACACATGAGTATTGTGTTTTCGTAAAGGACACAGTATTTATGCTTGGTACGCTCTTAAGGCTCGATATCAACGATTCCGCTTCCCTGTGCTTCTCAGCAGTATCCCGTGTTTCTTCAGATGCTTTCTTGTGGAACTTTCGGTTTTCTATCATTTTTGGTCCTGAGATAGTTTCACTGACAGTTTGACAAACTTGTTTTGACATTGTAGCGTATATGTTATCAATAGACAGTCCTTGGTCTAGATACTCGTCAATCGTCTCAGAAACTACAGGATCTTTCCGGAAATAGGCTGATACCGTAGGTTTCATGGCGTTACCATGGCGCTGTAAGATAAACTCTTTAGTTCCACCTGCCCACTTATACATGACCAAATACCAAGGCTTTGGTTCTCGTTCATTGACTGCTTTAACTGTGACAAAAGTCCTTGAAAATGACGGGTTGGCTTTGTTCGTTTTGTAATGTCTTGTAAGTTCATAAACCTCCTCCGGCGGAACACAATCCTTTTTGTAGCCTTTCGCTGCTTTTCTATTGGCAAAGAACAACCCATTTTCCAAATGGACTGTACGAGACCCGGAAGTACTGCTGTATTGGTAGTAGCGCTTTGCATTTCCTTTGGAAAGGTATGCTCCGTTATCATCTGCTTCTGCAGAAGCTATGGGTATCACCCTCTGATCGAGAGTAAAAATCTTATCCTCCCTTATAGCAGAGGGCTTGTGTTTCAAATCTAATTCTTCCGGGTTTTCAAGTAGGATGTTTAGGATAGTACAATGGTCCATATCTTCTGTTGTTTTTAAGCTTCTGAAAAAAACAATAAGTTTCTGTTTGAATAACCTAGTTTTGATAAGTGGTAATTTATTACACACCGAGGACCCCATTTTTGAGACTCATGTATAGATGAGGGTTTTATGGATACTAAGTGACTGACGAATGATGACTAAAAAAGATTGAATAAAGAAATGAAACAGTAAATAAAGACATGAATGAATGAATGAATGAACAAAATGAATAGAAAATCTCATGGGATATGATTGGAAAAAGCAATAACCAATGCTATGCGTTCTTTTGCTGAGGGGGTAGCTCGAGCAGAAACGCCATTCGCGTACCCGAACGAAACGCCTGTCGTCTAGGCTACTTACAGGAGATATCTAATGGACAGTCCAAAGAAAACGGGAGTGAGTAGTTCCGTTTCATTATATTTTTAAAACAAACGTTCCTAACACGTTCGTGATTATCCACTTTCACAGTCATAGTCACAGTCCTATTTATATAGATACATATTTATTTTCTGGAAACGACAGTGGAGACGAGGAGCATCCCCGTCGAGGCATTCTGCCTAAAGAACTCAGTCCGGTTCTTATTACCCAGTCTTTAGCCCGCATTTCATATACCTAGTGCCAGTTTTATATCCAGTCCAAAGTTTTATACCAAGTTCGTGCTTTATACTGACCCGGTTTTGGCTTACTGTAACAACAAGGTCAAACAGTTACATACTTGTCTTTATCCATTAACAGAGGCATGTTTTCTGTATCTTCTTCCATCTATGTATAAAATGAAATATAAGGAACTGTAATAATTATATTAGTCGCGGAAACGTTGCTTTCACTCGGTGGGCGTAACTTTGTACAACTAAATAAGAGGCTATGAAAAAGAAAGTCAGTTTTTCCGATTTAATGAATATTTGGTCAAAAATGTCGTTACCAACAGTACCACCCGTCTTAAGTTTACATTTAAGAGGCGAGTTCAAAATCAAACTTTATGGAAAAAGTCTGATGATGTTTTAGGGGATCTAAGTGGGTTATAAACTTCGGAAGCGCCCGTCAAAGACTTAAATAGGCTCCGTTTCCGCCGTCTCCGGGTCTGGTCTTTGATCCTCCTCCTCCCGGGGGGAGGGGGGGGATGAGTGTGGGCTCATTTTCCCGAACAGCGGCTGGTAATTGACGCCTAACTTCGACCCCGCTTCTCCCACTTTGGTTTGCATGGGTTCCCTGTGTAGTAGCCTCATCCATCGATAGCAGCTTCCGGAAAGAAAACAAATTGCCTCCTTCATTTTCGGGTTTTAAATCTCAAAAGAAGTCTCCATGAATCCAGTTATGATGGTTCTCAGAAACAGGCAATAATGGTCAGTCGTTAAACAAATCAGCAAGTGTCAAGTGTTCATCTTTGGCTGCTCGAAGCGTTCTCCTGATTTCAAAACTTAATGGCAGTATGCTTCTTGTAAACGATTATGTGTATATGTAAACATTTGGAGAGTTTGCCAGACACGAGTTCACAAATCTTTGATTGGACATTCTGGGCGCTTTCCATTGAACCCGAAATTCCGGAAATTTTTGTTTACACATCGAAGGTTTGGTCCGAACCGAATATTCGGGATCAGCTCAGGAGGTGGTCCACCTTGATCGGTCTGGTCATTTCGATCCGTGAGACCGAAGTGTCCCTTTCCATTTGGCAAAATTGTTGTCCCAATACCCCTCTCTTTTATCCTGCTTACAAAACCAACAACCAACCAAACGCGCAGTGGCCTAGGTCGGGTCTATTCAACCGGAATGTATCGGGCACGTGGAACTTCCGAAATTTCAAACCGGAATTTTTGTTGAATGGAAGGCGTCCTCTTTCTCTCTCTTCGGGGGAATAACACTCAGTCCCAAACAAGCAAGACGAGTGAATTAACGGCTAGATTATCACTAGCAGAGCGATGGATGATTACAGAATTCGCCGACAATCATATTAGATGTGGTCACACTACGGACTTTTACCAAGGTAAAACCGATTTACCTAGGGCAAATTCATCAAAAATCTTACGAGTTAAATTAATCTCGGGGTTTGTTTTACCTAAGTAAAAAATTCTGGGAAAGTCGCACTACCGCTATCGGCTTCCAAGGTTTTCACGCACAGTTGAATTTTTTGGAGCATAAATTCAAGAGAGCAAGATGCGCAAGGATCTAGCCGATCAAAGAGACGTTTTTTTCTTTTATCTCGCTGTTACTTCTTACGTTAATTCAATGTCTCAAGGTGAAACAGGCGAAGACGTAGACAACCCGTACCCCCCAATTTTTTTCATCGCGTGAGCTATGTCCGGTTCTGTCATCAGGACCTTCGCCGATGAGTGTCTATTGGCTAGCAACCTAGGTATTTCTTTTTCCCAAGCTATCGCTTTGGGGTAGCTGTCAAGGGAAAGTCTATTGTTCTCGAAACATATCCAAGCCCCAGACGATAAAATTTCCCTGAGGTAAGTTACCAAGGGAAAAATCAGTCGCACTTAAAAAATCAATTTCCCCAGGTAAAAAGTCTGAAGTGTGACCACAGCTATTGTGTGCTAACTTATTCCTTGCTCACCGATGTCCTTCCGGGAATAATACAGTTTTAAAAAAGGCTAGAACGCGCGAACGTGAATTGATCAAATCCGTTCATTTGTCAGACTTACTCTCATGCAAATGAAAGGAATTGTATGTAGAAAGTAAAAGAGAAATCGCGAAAAAATAAAACTTCTAATTAATTTTTGTCTTATGGTTTAGAATAAATTATGCTTTCAGATCAAAGCTGCGTAAATCGAACTGAACCAGTGCATAAAACTACGCGTTTCCTGTTTTTTACTCTCACCTATTGTAAGTGTATGGAATATGTGAGAAAATCTTAATTTTGAATGGGTATATTTCAAAAAGCTACGCAACGATCAAGAATACTAACGACAATATACAGAGCGGGGGCAGCTGTAGTGTCAACTATTACTTGTCGAGATATAGTGCGTCTTACCGTTAAAACCTTGAATGATTTTAATGTACCAAAGAGGCGGCGGGGATTAGTAGTTTTGACACTCCTGCTAGATGGCAGCCCGTAACGCACAGCGCTCGATCTCGACGATATTACGCGAAAATTGGGGACTGTGAACAGTCTATGTATTAATAGTCTCCGTGAACAGCTTTTGTTACTCACCTTTCGTACTTTATTTGGAATTTTCTTTTCTTCATTCTCTTCGTTTTCATCCGAATCACTGAGTACCACTATGGCTAAAAAACAGTCACATTAGGTGTTATATAACGTCGTGGCTTTCAATCGGGCTGGCGGAGATAACAACTAGACGGATTTTAAGAGAAAAGGCGGAATTCAAGCAGTTTAGAGAAAGTATGAATAAGAAGGAACTGTACGTACCTTCCGGATTTTCCTTTCGTAAGAACGCCATCGTGCCTGCATTCATACCGCTCGCAGTTGTACGAATGGTGACAATTATGCAATGGTGACTCATGACCACGTTTTGCTCCCGCTAAGATTCTAAATGAAATTTTCCAGACATATTCCAGGTTTCCCACCATATGTAATCACTGGTAATGTGACATTTTAAACATGATTTTAAAACAATTTAAAATCACAAACCATCAGTTGTTGCTTAAATTATAATCAAATTGTCGATAAGTTTCACAAGAGAGAGAGGAAACAAAATCAAACTCATATCCCAGCCCTCCCAACATATGAGGACAGTGCGGTGGAAGGTTTGTGTTAAGCTTAATGGTTGATGACGCAAGGGACCAGGGAGAGTAAGAGTAAGAGTAAGATTTTTTTTTGGGGGAGGGGGAGTGGATGTTTTGTTCGATTCTCGTATTTCATGTACGTGACATGTTGTCGTCTCGCCTTATTTCAGACAGTTATACCTTGTTTTAGATGGTTTTAGATTNGATAATTAAAAAAGGGACCGAAAACCAAAATTAAAACTAATAAACATACAATTGAAATTGTTAAAGTAAGGGAAAAAGAGTTACAATTACCTCCCACTGATTATTATTGGCGCCTTTGTAGAGTCGCAAGGGAGTCACCACTTGAGGCTCTGGATCTGTTCTAGTTAGAAATAGCTCCGGCTCTGGAAGATTGCATCTTCGTACTTTCTTTGAAGGAGCTGCCTTGAGACCAGCAGCACTCGGCTTCTTGTAAGTGTTGTAAGATTTGGGTGTGAATTGCCGAAAACTAGACAAATGCTGCGCCTGTCGCTGGGGACCCCATTTATTCCAGGCGACGGGATCGACCAGGAAGTGTTCATATCCAGGAGCAAGGCGATATTTTCCCAAACCTCTTAGGGCCCTTTCCTCCTCTGCGTAGAATTCCTTGGTCCAACCTTCCAGTGTTTCGGTCACTTTGGCAACTTCTTTTGGCACTTCGCTCTCCCGCAAGCGTTTCTTTTGTAGCTTATGCTTCAATTCAAGCCCGTTGGTATAGAAACGCCCGCCTAGCCGAAGTTCTTGGCGAGCTGAATAAATGAGGCAAGTCTTGAATTTTTCAGAGCGGTGCTTGTCAAACCATTCATAAAAACCTGGGACCAGGCCATCCCAGACGTCCTTCAAGCTCGCTAGCTTTGCTTCATAGTCAGCTGGGTCTTCTGAGTCGGCTAGACCGTTTTCCAGTAGTATCTGTTGTTGACATCCGTAGATGTCAGCCATAATTCTCCTCTGTGTGCTTTCGTTACATCCCATTGTTTTCAGCTTTTGGGCATCTCGTTCTTTCATGTGTTGTGTGCACCACACGTTTTGAGCCTCCTCAAAAATATCTGTCATGCCTTTGGCTATTGCCTTGTCGAGGTCATGACCAACCTTCTTGATTTTAAGTAGTTCTGGCTTGGCAATGGCTAATTCACCTGCAAACCTGCGATAGGTTTCGCGGTCCTTCTTAAAGTGCCAGAAACTAGGGCCCGGAAATTCAGGGTGCTTTCCATTTCGGTGGTTTATCAGGGCCTCGTGACTGAAAGTGGTGTCTGTAAGCCACAAACCATCAACTAGTTCGAAGGTTGTGTCCACTTGCAATATACTGTTCCCAAGTACACAGAATCTGTGTACATCCTCTAGCACATGTTCAGGAATGTTTACACATGAGTATTGTGTTTTCGTAAAGGACACAGTATTTATGCTTGATACGCTCTTAAGGCTCGATATCAACGATTCCGCTTCGCTGTGCTTCTCAGCAGTATCCCGTGTTTCTTCAGATGCTTTCTTGTGGAACTTTCGGTTTTCTATCATTTTTGGTCCTGAGATAGTTTCACTGACAGTTTGACAAACTTGTTTTGACATTGTAGCGTATATGTTATCAATAGACAGTCCTTGGTCTAGATACTCGTCAATCGTCTCAGAAACTACAGGATCTTTCCGGAAATAGGCTGATACCGTAGGTTTCATGGCGTTACCATGGCGCTGTAAGATAAACTCTTTAGTTCCACCTGCCCACTTATACATGACCAAATACCAAGGCTTTGGTTCTCGTTCATTGACTGCTTTAACTGTGACAAAAGTCCTTGAAAATGACGGGTTGGCTTTGTTCGTTTTGTAATGTCTTGTAAGTTCATAAACCTCCTCCGGCGGAACATAATCCTTTTTGTAGCCTTTCGCTGCTTTTCTATTGGCAAAGAACAACCCATTTTCCAAATGGACTGTACGAGACCCGGAAGTACTGCTGTATTGGTAGTAGCGCTTTGCATTTCCTTTGGAAAGGTATGCTCCGTTATCATCTGCTTCTGCAGAAGCTATGGGTATCACCCTCTGATCGAGAGTAAAAATCTTATCCTCCCTTATAGCAGAGGGCTTGTGTTTCAAATCTAATTCTTCCGGGTTTTCAAGTAGGATGTTTAGGATAGTACAATGGTCCATATCTTCTGTTGTTTTTAAGCTTCTGAAAAAAACAATAAGTTTCTGTTTGAATAACCTAGTTTTGATAAGTGGTAATTTATTACACACCGAGGACCCCATTTTTGAGACTCATGTATAGATGAGGGTTTTATGGATACTAAGTGACTGACGAATGATGATTAAAAAAGATTGAATAAAGAAATGAAACAGTAAATAAAGACATGAATGAATGAATGAATGAACAAAATGAATAGAAAATCTCATGGGATATGATTGGAAAAAGCAATAACCAATGCTATGCGTTCTTTTGCTGAGGGGGTAGCTCGAGCAGAAACGCCATTCGCGTACCCGAACGAAACGCCTGTCGTCTAGGCTACTTACAGGAGATATCTAATGGACAGTCCAAAGAAAACGGGAGTGAGTAGTTCCGTTTCATTATATTTTTAAAACAAACGTTCCTAACACGTTCGTGATTATCCACTTTCACAGTCATAGTCACAGTCCTATTTATATAGATACATATTTATTTTCTGGAAACGACAGTGGAGACGAGGAGCATCCCCGTCGAGGCATTCTGCCTAAAGAACTCAGTCCGGTTCTTATTACCCAGTCTTTAGCCCGCATTTCATATACCTAGTGCCAGTTTTATATCCAGTCCAAAGTTTTATACCAAGTTCGTGCTTTATACTGACCCGGTTTTGGCTTACTGTAACAACAAGGTCAAACAGTTACATACTTGTCTTTATCCATTAACAGAGGCATGTTTTCTGTATCTTCTTCCATCTATGTATAAAATGAAATATAAGGAACTGTAATAATTATATTAGTCGCGGAAACGTTGCTTTCACTCGGTGGGCGTAACTTTGTACAACTAAATAAGAGGCTATGAAAAAGAAAGTCAGTTTTTCCGATTTAATGAATATTTGGTCAAAAATGTCGTTACCAACAGTACCACCCGTCTTAAGTTTACATTTAAGAGGCGAGTTCAAAATCAAACTTTATGGAAAAAGTCTGATGATGTTTTAGGGGATCTAAGTGGGTTATAAACTTCGGAAGCGCCCGTCAAAGACTTAAATAGGCTCCGTTTCCGCCGTCTCCGGGTCTGGTCTTTGATCCTCCTCCTCCCGGGGGGAGGGGGGGGATGAGTGTGGGCTCATTTTCCCGAACAGCGGCTGGTAATTGACGCCTAACTTCGACCCCGCTTCTCCCACTTTGGTTTGCATGGGTTCCCTGTGTAGTAGCCTCATCCATCGATAGCAGCTTCCGGAAAGAAAACAAATTGCCTCCTTCATTTTCGGGTTTTAAATCTCAAAAGAAGTCTCCATGAATCCAGTTATGATGGTTCTCAGAAACAGGCAATAATGGTCAGTCGTTAAACAAATCAGCAAGTGTCAAGTGTTCATCTTTGGCTGCTCGAAGCGTTCTCCTGATTTCAAAACTTAATGGCAGTATGCTTCTTGTAAACGATTATGTGTATATGTAAACATTTGGAGAGTTTGCCAGACACGAGTTCACAAATCTTTGATTGGACATTCTGGGCGCTTTCCATTGAACCCGAAATTCCGGAAATTTTTGTTTACACATCGAAGGTTTGGTCCGAACCGAATATTCGGGATCAGCTCAGGAGGTGGTCCACCTTGATCGGTCTGGTCATTTCGATCCGTGAGACCGAAGTGTCCCTTTCCATTTGGCAAAATTGTTGTCCCAATACCCCTCTCTTTTATCCTGCTTACAAAACGAACAACCAACCAAACGCGCAGTGGCCTAGGTCGGGTCTATTCAACCGGAATGTATCGGGCACGTGGAACTTCCGAAATTTCAAACCGGAATTTTTGTTGAATGGAAGGCGTCCTCTTTCTCTCTCTTCGGGGGAATAACACTCAGTCCCAAACAAGCAAGACGAGTGAATTAACGGCTAGATTATCACTAGCAGAGCGATGGATGATTACAGAATTCGCCGACAATCATATTAGATGTGGTCACACTACGGACTTTTACCAAGGTAAAACCGATTTACCTAGGGCAAATTCATCAAAAATCTTACGAGTTAAATTAATCTCGGGGTTTGTTTTACCTAAGTAAAAAATTCTGGGAAAGTCGCACTACCGCTATCGGCTTCCAAGGTTTTCACGCACAGTTGAATTTTTTGGAGCATAAATTCAAGAGAGCAAGATGCGCAAGGATCTAGCCGATCAAAGAGACGTTTTTTTCTTTTATCTCGCTGTTACTTCTTACGTTAATTCAATGTCTCAAGGTGAAACAGGCGAAGACGTAGACAACCCGTACCCCCCAATTTTTTTCATCGCGTGAGCTATGTCCGGTTCTGTCATCAGGACCTTCGCCGATGAGTGTCTATTGGCTAGCAACCTAGGTATTTCTTTTTCCCAAGCTATCGCTTTGGGGTAGCTGTCAAGGGAAAGTCTATTGTTCTCGAAACATATCCAAGCCCCAGACGATAAAATTTCCCTGAGGTAAGTTACCAAGGGAAAAATCAGTCGCACTTAAAAAATCAATTTCCCCAGGTAAAAAGTCTGAAGTGTGACCACAGCTATTGTGTGCTAACTTATTCCTCGCTCACCGATGTCCTTCCGGGAATAATACAGTTTTAAAAAAGGCTAGAACGCGCGAACGTGAATTGATCAAATCCGTTCATTTGTCAGACTTACTCTCATGCAAATGAAAGGAATTGTATGTAGAAAGTAAAAGAGAAATCGCGAAAAAATAAAACTTCTAATTAATTTTTGTCTTATGGTTTAGAATAAATTATGCTTTCAGATCAAAGCTGCGTAAATCGAACTGAACCAGTGCATAAAACTACGCGTTTCCTGTTTTTTACTCTCACCTATTGTAAGTGTATGGAATATGTGAGAAAATCTTAATTTTGAATGGGTATATTTCAAAAAGCTACGCAACGATCAAGAATACTAACGACAATATACAGAGCGGGGGCAGCTGTAGTGTCAACTATTACTTGTCGAGATATAGTGCGTCTTACCGTTAAAACCTTGAATGATTTTAATGTACCAAAGAGGCGGCGGGGATTAGTAGTTTTGACACTCCTGCTAGATGGCAGCCCGTAACGCACAGCGCTCGATCTCGACGATATTACGCGAAAATTGGGGACTGTGAACAGTCTATGTATTAATAGTCTCCGTGAACAGCTTTTGTTACTCACCTTTCGTACTTTATTTGGAATTTTCTTTTCTTCATTCTCTTCGTTTTCATCCGAATCACTGAGTACCACTATGGCTAAAAAACAGTCACATTAGGTGTTATATAACGTCGTGGCTTTCAATCGGGCTGGCGGAGATAACAACTAGACGGATTTTAAGAGAAAAGGCGGAATTCAAGCAGTTTAGAGAAAGTATGAATAAGAAGGAACTGTACGTACCTTCCGGATTTTCCTTTCGTAAGAACGCCATCGTGCCTGCATTCATACCGCTCGCAGTTGTACGAATGGTGACAATTATGCAATGGTGACTCATGACCACGTTTTGCTCCCGCTAAGATTCTAAATGAAATTTTCCAGACATATTCCAGGTTTCCCACCATATGTAATCACTGGTAATGTGACATTTTAAACATGATTTTAAAACAATTTAAAATCACAAACCATCAGTTGTTGCTTAAATTATAATCAAATTGTCGATAAGTTTCACAAGAGAGAGAGGAAACAAAATCAAACTCATATCCCAGCCCTCCCAACATATGAGGACAGTGCGGTGGAAGGTTTGTGTTAAGCTTAATGGTTGATGACGCAAGGGACCAGGGAGAGTAAGAGTAAGAGTAAGATTTTTTTTACCCCCT